CTCTCTCTCTCTCTCACACACACACACACACACACACACACACACACAAATATAAAGGTAAATGTGTTGACACTACACAAGATGGCCAGCTGCTGAACTGAGAAACTCCCAATGACCATGAGATAGTGATTTCCTAACCACCAGCCTACACCTCCAAATCCTGACAAGAACTCAAGGCCCATTTGAGAAGAAGGCTGGGAAGAGCATGGGACCAATGATCTATCATATTCTATACAAATGTGCTTTCCCCTAGGTACATTATGGTGGGTTTTCACAGACCTTGTGTTGGGCATCTTTATCAGTTTTTCCTCTAATATTTGCTGATGTTGCTTCCTGATTTTGTATTTTATTTTGTGTTTATTGTGTTATTTTCTCTCGTAATAGATGCACAGAGACTGCTGTTTGTCCTTTACTGCCTTTCCCTTCTCTGTGCCCTTTTTAGAGATGAAAATGTAGCAGAGCGCTTGTCCATCCATGCAGAAATGGCCTTTCTGAGCTGTGCTGGAGTAAGGTGTGACATGTGGGCCATGGGCAGAAGGAATGTGTGCATCTTCTTAGTGTGTCCTCAAAGTTTCACATTTTCATTTTCCCACTGGACATGGTAAATGCATCATGTTTGGCCATAAAGGTGCTCTGAAGAGGGTGGAATCCTCAGGTAGAAGAGCCTTATGACCCTCCAGTTTCAGGAAGACAGCCACCACACCCATGTGGACCATTACAGGAGACCCTGTGCCTTGTTAAAGCCAATGTTTGTTTTGAGCCTCTTTATATCAACTGAGCTTTATTCTAATTCAGAACTTGACACCTGGGAGCAGAGTGGTGCCAAAACAGAACCTAATACATGTGGAATTGGCTTAACGATCAGCCTGTCAGGACAGAGATGTTACAGGTAGAAAGCTAGTGACCCTTGATATGCATGAAAAAGCATTTGGTATGACTCTTGCTTGTGGTGTATTTATAGCCCTAGAAGAAATGGTTGAAAATGGTTCAGAATATTGGCAAGTGTTGGTTACTTCTTGACACTTTCAGCAAAGCCCACCTAGAGACTTGGGTAGAGAAAGGAAGATGGACGAGACTACAGCTGGACAAGTGGGTTTTCTTCTGCCTGTGGCCTGTGATCTGTAAGTCTGTTAAGAAGGCCCCATAGGTTGGGGCACCTGGGTGGCGCAGTCGGTTAAGCGTCCGACTTCAGCCAGGTCACGATCTCGCGGTCCGTGAGTTTGAGCCCCGCGTCGGGCTCTGGGCTGATGGCTCAGAGCCTGGAGCCTGTTTCCGATTCTGTGTCTCCCTCTCTCTCTGCCCCTCCCCCGTTCATGCTCTGTCTCTCTCTTTCTCCAAAAAAAATAAATAAATAAATAAACGTTGAAGAAGGCCCCATAGGTTGAAAATACCAGTTGCTTCTGAACCCCACATGAACCTTTGAGAAAGCAAGGCTCTGAAAAGGCAGCCAAGTGTGTGCCCCACATTCCTCTCAAATCCTGAGTTCTTAGCCAGATAACAGGGGTCGGTCCAGCATTAAACCAAGTGCTAGTCCTTCCAAGCAGAGGGCTCTTCTGACTGCACCAGATCCAATACACGTGAAGACAACCCAGTCAAGAGAGTGGGACTGTGTCTTGCTTGTGGAAGGTCATTCTGCAAATATTTGAGGGACAGTTGGCGGTGCAAGTGGCCTCAAGGTAGCCACCTTGAGCTGGAGAAGCAGAGAAGGATGATGAGCATATAGAGACCAACAAATAAAAGACAAGAATCCTCAGGCTTAAACCCATGACTAGATGAGGCCTTTGCATGTGGAGCTGAGTGGGAGTATGTATGTAAGAAGCTGACCCAGGGACCCAACTGTCAATCAGGAAGCCCCTGCAAAGCTAGGCAGCTGTGGCTAGGGCAGCCTCTCACATTCCTTTGCAGTTGACCATGAAGATTATGGACAAGGACACACCCCAGAAAGTAAAGTCAGACCTAATGAGGCCCAAAGTCCAGGGAGTTCCTCCCAGCTGAGTTTGGGTGATAGGGTTCTGTCCAGAGACAGAAGGAGACAGAGAATTCAAAGTAGGCTCTGTGAAGTCAGCACAGAACCCAATGTGGGGCTCGAGCTCACAAACCATGGGCTTGGGCTGAAATCAAAAGATACCTAACCAACTGAGCCACCCAGGTTCCCCTACACAGTTTTATTTAAATAACCGCGTGCCAGACTTACCTTGGACAGTGCCAAGCAGAATTTGAAAGCTGCTGTGTGTTTCCCATTCTCCTCCTTTTCCACACTCCAGGTTGGGGGAGGGGGGAGGGCGGCACACAACTGGCCCTTCAGTGATAGAACCTGTTGGAGAGCCTGTACCTTGTCCAGAGGGACTGGACTGAGCTGCATTGGGGATTGGACAGAACTTTGGGTTTTTCCTCTTGACCAGGGGCTGCATCCTGGTGCAGCAGGTGACCACATGGAAAGACTGTGGCAGAAGCAGCTCATTATCCCTATGATCTGTTCTTCTCCTCTCCTCCAAATCAGCGGGCAGAACATCCTCAGGGGAGGCACTTGGGTCCTTGATCACTGCCTAGGGAACCTGCCATAAAATTTGTGATTTTACATAAGAGAAAAATATTTGAACCTCAAGTGCTAACACTAGTGTGATCCAGGCTTCTAAGTTCTCCAACCCAGCAGTATGAAGTCATATCTCACTCATTTATTTGTCTTTCTCTGATAGCTGATCAGCAGAGCATCTCTTTCATCCCAGGGTTTAAAAATATTTCCTGTGTAGTTTTTCTGCTAACCTCATTTCTGTTCATATCAGGTCTTTAATTCATTTAGAGACTAACATTGCACGTGTTGTTAGGTAGGGATCTGGTTCTGTTTTTCTCCATTGAGTGAGCTCATTTTCTCAGTACCTTCTACTAAAGAACCCACCCACTCTTTTGCCATTGATTGTGGTGCCAGAATTATCATCTATTGAATTTCTACCTCCACAAAAGTCTGACACTGATCTCTTCACTGTCCTGCTTCTGCTGTCTGTGTTTTCTTCTGTCAATACTAATAGCACATCCTCCTCTTTCCCTTTTTTGGTTGATTTGGCTATTCAATGATTTTTCTTTTTCCACGCACATTTTGAGTTTCCTCCTAACCAAGTAGAACTTTGACTAGATTGCAGTGAATTTATAGGTTAAATTGGGGGTGGGGAGGAATTTACATCTTTGAAATATTAAATTACCTGATCCAAGAACAAGAAATACCTCTCTATTGACTAAGATCGCCTTCTGTATCCTATACTACAGTTTCAAAGTGTTCACCAGACGTCTTGAGTGCTCGTTGTTAATTACCAAATGTTTTATGGTTTTTGTTGCTATCGTGGAGTACATTTCATTTTTTGTTACATTTTCTTGTTGGTTATTGCTGGTGCAATGTATTATTCCTTTTTCTAATTTCATCAAATACACGCAATATTAACAAAACTTTTAGAATCTCTTTAAAAAAGTGAGTTTTATCTGAGTCCAAATTAGGACAGCTGCCCTGGGTACACAATATTCACAAAGAAGAGAGTCCTCCAGGACACCTGGGTGGCTCAGTCCGTTAAGCCTCCAATGCTTGATTTCAACTCAGGTCATGATCTTACAGGTTCATAAGTTCGAGCCCCACATTGTGCTCCACACTGTCAGTGCAGAGCCTGCTTGGGATTCTCTCTCACACAAAATAAATAAACTTAAAAAAAAAAGACAGTTTTATGCCCCATAACAACAACAACAAAGAAGAGAGTGCTCCTGGGAAAGAACATTTGGTGCAGGGTTATATACTTTTTTTTTTTTTTTAAATAAGAAGTTAGTTACAAACCATTGGACAAAAATCATTTCAGAAAGTTACAGTTACAGTTATCTTTTTAGTATATGCAGAGCTGTATGACCTTAATCTTATGGGAACTGGAAAGGTTTTGGTTTTGGTTTTACTCTTCTCTTTATGTTTGGAATGCTTCCTTTTAGGTTATTTATAAATGAAGCAGACTACGATGTGTTTAGGGTAGAAACTGAGCTCATGCTTTAAAGTTTTGATGACTATGATGTTAAAATATAGCTTCCATGAGAGTCCATGCAGGGCCTACAAACATTAAAACTTGACAATTTCCTTTTTTTTTTTAATTTCCTTTATTTTATCAATACATTATATATTTTTCTCCGAAAAATATTCAGTGAATTTTATATCTTTTACACGTTATACTGGGTCCCATAGGTTTGAGAATTAAGTGTTTCGCTTTTCGTTGCTTTATGCATTATCTGTACTTTTCTAGCTAGTATCATTTTTTATTAAAAGGTTATGTAGGCTGTTTGTAAATTCCGATACTTACGTTTTTTAAGTCAACTTTATATATTTCTAACGTTGATAACTGCCTGTCAAATACATACCTTAAAACTCGTATTCTTAATGTCTAAGTGTATAATCAACTTCTGTAAATGTTCCATGGACACTCCCACTAAATGTGTATTATCTATGTAAGGAATTTCAGTTTTTCCATCCATCTGCCCCATCATTTACTGATTTAGGGATTCAGTTCTACCACGTGCGCCCTCATGTTTTCATCAAGCTGCAGTCTGTTTGATTCCAGGAATTGGGCATCCAAGTCTCGCTACAGCGGCACGGCTCATTCTTCTGCATTTCTAACCGTCGTACTTTCACGTTTAGTCGCCACCGCACAGGTGGCTCGGTCGACTCTGAAGCAGGAAAGCTAGGGAGCTCCACCTCCGCGCCGGACCAGGGGCGGGACCACAAAGTCGCTCTGGCCTCCGGCCGCCTAGAGCGACGACGTTGGCCCGGAAGTCGGGAGAGGGACTTCCGGGGTCCGTCTCGGGGCCCAGCCGCAGGACATCTGCGGCGGTGCCGGGAGAGATTACCGGGAGTGGCGAGTTCGAGCCGGGGAAACCCCCACGTTTTGGACCGCGCTCCCGCGTGACTCCGATACCCCAGCGGTGGGTGCCGGCCACGGGTGGTCTAGGCGGGGCGTCGTGGGAAGAGGGGCAGGCGGGCGGCTCGGCCTGGGCGGGGTTGGGGCCTCGGAGGCCCCTCCCCGGAGCGGGCCTGAGGGGCGCCCTCCAGAGGGTGCTCAGGACGGCCGATCCTGACCCGCCCGGGAGTCAGCCTCAAAGCTGCGTGGCGAAGCTGCCTTAGGCGACGGGGCAGGTGTGCGGTGTCTGTCGCATGGGGGTTGGGGTTCAGGAGAGGCCTCTGGACTTGGGTGCGAACGTCAGAACTGCACTGAGCTGCACGAGAAGTGAGGTGGTCGCTTGTCGCCTGGAGGCCTCGGGTGATGGATTCACTCTTCAGGTGGCCAAGAAGCTCTGAGGAGAGAGGAATTTATTCTCCTCCACGTGAGTGGGGCTGAGGGACGAGCCATGTCCATCCTGTGGATGCCTGCAGTGGGCTGCTGTCTGCTTGTCTTTCCCAGTTGTCTCTGCTCAGCACCCTGTTGGGCTCTTAGCTGAGAGAATCTGCTTCCAGCCTTGTTGGCAGAATCGAATCCTTTGGGGTTATTGCACTGAAGTGTCAGTTTCCTTGCTGACTGTCCTTAGCTCTTGAGGTCCCAATCTTTGCACAGAGACCTTGCATCTCAGAGCCAGCAATGGCTTATGTAATTAGATTGGGTCCACCAAGCTAATTCTCTCTGCAAAGTCTCTTTTGCTGTGTAGTGTATCATATCCACAGGTTCCGGGGAGTGGGATGTGGACATGGGTGTTGAGGGACATTCTGTTTACCATAGATTGACCCCATAGATTGGGTTTATAGCCTCCTGGGCAAGTTCCCACATATACTGAGGTGAGAAAAACAAGGTGTAAAATGAGCATAGACTATTCTGGAAGGATACATTAACAACTGGGAAGGGGAACTCAGTGGCTGGCCAGGAAGTTCTTTTTTGCCTGTTCATATTTGAGCCATATGATTGTGCCTCCATTCAGTGACAGTGATAAGTTCAAGAATTTTATTTTATTTTTTTAAGTTTATTTATTTATTTTGAAAGCAAGAGAGAGCGAACACATGCATAAGCAGGGGAGGGTAGAGAGAAGGAGAGACAGAATCCCAAACAGGCTCTGCACGATCAGAGGAGGCGCCAGTGCGGGGTTCAAACTCAGGAACTGTGAGATCACGACCTGAGCCTAGATCAAAAGTAGGGTGCTTAACCAACTGTGCTACCTAGGTGCGCCTTCAAGAATTTTAAAATAAAATGAACTGGGGCGCCTGGGTGGCTCAGTCAGTTAAGCGTCTAACTCTTGATTTCAGCTCAGGTCATGATCTCAGGGTTCATGAGTTCAAACCCCACATCAGGCTCCATGCTAACAGTGCGGAGCCTGCTTGGGATTCTCTCTCTCCCTCCCCCTCTCTCTCTGCCCCTCCTGCATGCAAACTCTCTTTCTCAAAATAAATGAACTTTAAAATAAAGTGAACTGAATGAATATTGCAAATGACTGAGTCTCCCCTTGGAAGAGGGAGAGTGAAGGTTCCCCCCATGGAAGCAGCATCTGCTCTGTTCTGCTGCTGCATAGACAGACACCTTAAGTCAGTGCTGTCCCTGCTTTGAATCTTGTCTGTGCCATTCCCCTGAGCACCAGTGTCAGGTTAGTTCTGTCTGTCCTAATACAGAAATGTGGCCGGTGCCTCACCACTCAGGCAGCCAAGGGCCCTGATAGTCTCTATCCCAATGACCCTGCCTCTGAGCTCTGTCCACATCTTTGCCCCATCTTCTCCTACCTCTCTAACCAGGCATTGCCTAAGCCCTTTTCCCTGGGCTGGTTTAAATACCTCCCTGCCCCAGGGTGCTGCTCCTTCCTTGCTTCCTCTGTTTCCTGCGGTCTCAGCCTGTCAAAAACCAATGATTTGGTTGGATCAACCCTTGGGGTTCTTACCTGCAACAAAAACCATCAGGAAACTTTCAAAACAAGGGCCTATAGATTAGCACACCTGGAGCCACACAGTGAGGTTGCAAGTAATGAGAGAGAGAGGTGCATGGGCCTAGGCTTCTGCTTTTATTGGAGTTGAGGGTGGACACCTAGGGTTTTGTAGGCTACTCTTTATTGGTGAATTTAAAACATAAGAGTGGGAATTTAAAGTTCAGGAAGAGAAAAATGACGAGTGACCCAAATGACCAGTTATCAGAATCAACCAAGATTGCTAAAAGGAGGCTCAGTCAGGGGAGGCAGCCGGGCTTTTTATCTAGTCCAGTGGCTGGCAATGCATTTATTCTCCAATAACCATCTTTGAAATCGATGCCTCTTTGCAGTGGATGCCTCAGCAATCAAAGCTTAATTCAGGCATTTGCCTTATAAAACAAAACAACACGACTGGGAGGGCTGATACTTCCCACTACCCAGTAGGCAAGTAGTGTCCACAGTGGGCTTCTGCCAGCATTTCCTGATTTGTCTTCTCAGTCTCTGAAGGGCAGAGGGGTCATTATAATCTTTCAATGGTTCAGTGTGAATAAGGGGCCAAGGGGTATTGCCACAAACGTGTGGGCCACTGAGCAGAGCATGGTGCATTTGAAGAGACAGGGCAGTGGGAGCGGTGGGGGAAATCACTAACTCGGACCGATCATGTGTCGTTGAGAATATTTTATCTTCTCAGAAGGAGCATTTAGAGCTGGAGATGAGCCCAAGCTTGGGAATCTTCACATAAGGGTCTTGATGCCTTCCTTAATCAAAGAAATTGGTATAGGTTCAAAAGTGAACCCTGGGGTAAGAACATGAAGAGGGAGATAAGGAGAAGCCTGGGAGGGAGCCACTGGTAGAGTGGGAAGACAGGGATACCCACTGTGGATGCTGCCAGGAGGACACAACTCAGATACCATGGTGGTCCGCCATGAATGGATCAGATGGTCCACCTTCAGGACATTGTGTCAGGAATTAGGGGTGGGCCCATGGTGGGCGCAGGTTTTGTGGGACTATTCTATCATGGCAGGATCCCTTCTAGGGGGACACTGTGCTCACCTTGCCCTGGGGTCAGCATCTTACCCCTTCCTGAGACCTAGCAGCAGGCCCTCCTCTGGTCTCAGTCTGTAGGAGTAGAAAAAGACACCCCTACCTGGTGGGAGGATGGATCCCTGGAGCTAGGCCCCCTGCACATTCACCTACATCCTTGTTGGTCTCCAGGTCCCAGCCATGCCCAGCCTCAGAGCTCGCTCTGAAGAGGCAGAAATGGAGCCCTCAGTTCCTAGACCATCCCCTTGGATCCCTGCAGCCCAGGCGTGTGTGAGTGATGCTCCTGCTGTGACCCACCCTGGATCAACACTCCGTGATCCCCACTGCTGTGACTACACTGAGCCAGGAACCACCCCTTCTCACCATCAGCGGCCAGGTACTGGGAGCAAGTCCCCCACTGGTGCCCTCATTCTAGAGGGACTTTATCCATGTCACCCTGTGCTTACCCCTAGAAGGCAATCATGTCATTATTAGGGATGGGGTGCCTCATTGACTTGAGGGCCAAGGCTAGAGATCAGAACGGAATTTGGCCTGGCCCCAGGCTGTCTTGGTGCCAGAGCAGGACACATGTTTCCCCCACCTGACCTAGAGGGGTGTGGTATGATGGTCACCAGCTGAGGCCTGCCCAGCCCAACTTCCAGGCTAATGATGGTTGCCTGCATTCAAGCAGGTAGGTACTGCCTGATTCAGTTACTGCCTTACCTGATTCAGGTACTGCCCTAATTCAGGCTTTCGTCCTGCTCCCTTCTGGCTGTGTTCACACTGCTCAGCCACTCTCATCCACTTCAGAACACTGCTAGAGTCCTTTTCCAAAGAGCCCTCAACTAGCTTGCCTTTTTCATGGACCTCTCAGCAGTGATTAGGGTGGATAATAGTGTTCACTTTCCTTACCGGGATCTGATGTTGGCTATTTTACAAAAGGCACTCTTAAATACAGGGACCTATGGTTATTCTCAGGACATCCGGGCAATGTACAGACTCTGTATGACCAGGGAAGGTTGGGATAATGGCAGTGTTGGTTGACAAACCTTGACAACTAACTTCCTGGGTATAACTTAAACTGGCCCCTATACATGGAGGGGAAGGAGAAGCTGAATAACAAGGCAGGCCACCCCTATTGGTAGGTGGCAGTTTAATAAGCAAGAGAACTTACTTAAGAAGCTTGTCATGAGTGGCTGCAATACAAGTAAATCCCACCACCTGGCTGCCAAATCTTAAAAGTTGATATAGTGGCCTTAACTGGGTTTAGTCCTATGTACTGTCCAGATGGTCTCAGCACCATATCACTGTCTCAAGGCTCTGTCCTTGGGGCAGCTTCTGGGAGCAGGGAAGGCAAGCAGTATGTACATCCAAGGACAAGTGAGAAGATGAGGGGCCTCCAATTGCCTGGATCCAGCTCGTAAGTCAACCAGTGGTCGCATCCTCTCAGTGACCTTCCCCAACAAGCAGAGGTGGTACAAGGCAGTCCTGGGTGTTTTGGAGCAGGAGAGTGTTAGGGGATGAGAGACATGATGAGGTCCCAGGAAGTAGAAGTAGCCCCGAGAGACAGGTCTGCTGACTGTCCCACACAGAGGCAGAATGTGAACCGAGTGGTTAAGGGTATGCTAGGCAGAGAATGGTGAGAGAGGCCAAGGCCTGCTCCATTAAAAAAGAATAGATTGATGGTAACTTATGTTTTAATTTTTTTTTAGTGTTTTTATTTTTTTTTTTTTTTGAGAAAGAGAGTATGAGCAGGGTAGGGGGAGAGAGAGAAGGATCAAGGAAAGAATCTGAAGCAGACTCCAGGCTCTGAGCTGTCAGCACAGAGCCCAATATGGAACTCCAGCTCACAAACCACAAGATCATGACCTGAGCCCAAGTCAGTCGCATAACTGACTGAGCCACCTAGGCGCATGTTTTAAAAGCCACTGTGGGGGGAGGGGAGCCTCGGAGGCTCAGTAGGTTAAGCATCTGACCCTTGATTTTGGCTTAGGTCATGATCTCATGGTTCATGGGATTGAGCCACATGTTGGGCTCTGTGCTGACAGCATGGAGTCCTGCTTGGGATTCTCTCTTCCTCTCTCTCTGCCCCTCCCCTGCTCACTCTCTCTAAATAAACAAACATTTAAAAAAATAAAAAGCTACTTGTGGAACTAAATGGTGGAGTAGGTGGTTCCAAATACCCAGTCCTCCACAAAAACAAGCAGAAACTGCCAGGACCAACTTCTTCAGGAATCTAGAAAATAGATTTACAGCAACCAAGTGAATGCCAAATCAAGAAAAAGGCAACTTAAAAATGATAGGAAAGCTCTGTGGTGTTTTTACTTGCTCATGTCCCCATAAATCCCCTGGCTCAGTAACAGTCTTAAAAGTGAGCAGCTTATGTTCCCAGTGTGTGATCATGGTCCCTGATTCCAAAGGGAGAAGACCTATTTAGAAATTATTTTGTTTGTCCTAAGCTATGTGGGGTAGTATAAAGTATTGATGCAAAGTGCTTGTCTCTGTTTTGCCTAACTCAGAACTTACTCAGGGCAGAAAAGTAGTGGATTCAAAAACATTCTAAGGGGAACTACCTTCCCCAACCACCTAGGATATCGCTTAACAGTACAGTCAACCACCTAAAGCCTAGGAGGAAAAGCTGGGGGAATGAGGACTTTCAAAAGCACCCCAGTATATCAGGGAATGTAGAAAGCCACATACATGCCCAGGACAGGAAATGTGCTCTGAAAAGACCTCTGAAGATCATAACTTCACCTCTGGATCATCTCTAAGTTCAGTAAAAGCAGAAAGCTAAGATAGTTATATATAGTATTCAGATAGTACCCCAGCATAAAAAATAGGAGAGTGGTATTACTTTTCTTTTACTGTTAGCATTCAAGGAAATCTCTGTCAAAAGACTAGCTGAACACAAGCTAAAGAAACAGAGGCCTCAGTGACCTCACATGACAGACTTGTTTTAGTTTGCAAAACTTGTTTGAAAAGTCACTAGATGAACAGATGATTGTAGCCTCAACAATCAGGAACAGCAAACCCTGGAGGAGGGAGAGACTGATTTACAGAGTTATCACAATAAATATTCAAATGTCCAGCTTTTAACAAAAAATTACAAAGAATACAAAGAAAAAGGAAAATAAGGCTCGCCCTTCAAAGGAAAAAAAATTAAGTGGCAGAAAGTGTCCCTAAAAAAGCACAGATACTTGACAGACTGTAAACCAACTATCTTTAATGTGCTCATGTAACTAAGAGAAACCAGAAAAACAATGTGCAAATAAAACACCTAGAGGTTTTAGATTTATATAATTATACAATATATAGTTACATAATTCTAAAAAGAAACAACAGAAATTCTAGAGTTGAAAGGTACAATAACAAATGGATTCACTAGAGGGTTTCAACAGCAGATTTGAGCAGACAGACCTGAAGAATCAGCAAACTCGATGGTGGAACCGTTGAAATTATTCAGTCTGAGGAGCAGGAAGACTAAAGGTTGAAAAAAAGTGAACATGGCCTAATAGACCTATGGAATACCATCAGTCAAACCAACATACATATTATGGAAAAAAGAGAGAAAGGGGCAGAAAGAATATATGAAGAATTAATGGCCAAAATGTCTCAAATTTGATGAAAGATATGACTATATACATTCAAAAAGTTCAACAAACTCCCAACTAGGATAAATTTGAAGAGATTCACACAAAGACTCATAATCATATTGTCAAAAGACAGAATCTTGAAAACAACAAAAAAAGTGACCCGTCCCTTATAAGAGATCCTGAATAAGAGTAGTAGCCAGTTTCTTATCAGAGCCTGTGGAGGTTGGAAGGCAGTGGGATGACCTATTTAAAGCGCTGAGAGACAGAAAAAAACTGTCAACCAAGAATTCCTTATCTGGCAAATTTACCCTTTAAAAAATGATATTCTCAGATATTTCCAGATAAAAGCTAAGGGTGTTTATTACCAGTGGACCTGCCCTGTAAGACATGCTAAAGGTCCTACAGGTTAAGATGAAAGGACACTGGGTAGGGACTAAAAGCTATATAAATAAATAAAAATCTCTGGTAAAGGTAACTATATAGGTAATTATAAAAACTACTATTATTGTATTTTTGGTTTATAACTCTACTTTTATTTCCTAAATGATTTAAAAGACAAACTTGTAAAAATAATTATAAATCTGTGTTATTAAACACAACGTATAAAGATACATTTCTGACAACATGAAAGTAGGGAACAGAGGTGTATAAGAGCAGAGTTTTTGTATGCTGTTGTGGCTAAGTTGATATCAGTTCATATTTGATGGTTATATTCTGGGGATATTATGTACAGCATGGTGACTATAATTAACTATATTCTATATTTGAAAATTGCTAAGAGAGTAGACCTTAAAAGTTCTTACCACAATAAAAGGGGTTGCCTGGCTGGCTCAGTCAGTAGAGCATCTGACTCTTCAATTCAGGGTTATGAGTTCAAGCCCCACATTGGGTATAGAGATCACTTAAAAAAAAAAAAAAAAAAGATAACTGTGTAAAGTGACGGATGTGTTAACTAACCTTATGATGGTAATCATTTTACAGTGTACATGTATCAGTGTACAAATAATCACATTGTGATTAAACTTATATGATGATGTATGTCAGTTATGTTTCAGTAAAGCTGGAGGAATAAAAACTAAAACAGCTGGGAAGGGGGGACCATGCTACATTGCTTCAGGATATTAGGATGTTAATTGTCCCCATTGTACAATCCCCATTGTACCACTAAGAAAATATCTTTAAAATATACATAAAAGGAAGAAAGAAGAAAATTAAGATGGTACACTACAAAAAATAACCCAAAAGAAGACAATAATAGAGGAAACAAGGGACAAAAAAAGGTGAGATAACAAAAATAAATAGCAAAATGAAGTACATCCTTCCTTATCAGTAATTATTTTAATTATAAATGGTTTAAGCTCTCCAAAGGCTGATATTAACACAGTGGATGAAAAAGCATGATCCAACTATAATGTCTACAAGAGGCTTACTTTAGATCCAAAGACACAAATAAGTTTAAGGTGAAAGGTGAAAAAAGATATTACATGCAAATAAATAGTAACCAAAAGAGAGCTATGCTATAATACCACACAAAATAAACTAAGTTAAAACCTGTAAGAGAAAAGAAGGAACTTATGTTTGGATAAAAGAAATCAATTCATCAGGAAGATATGTTATAAACTTCTACATGCAAAAAGAGAACTCCCAAATATATGAAGCAAATATACATTTGAAGGGAGAAATGGATAGTTCTACATTAATAGTTGGAGACTTTAGTACCTCATTTCCAAAAATGGATAGAACATCTATAGACAGAAGATCAATAATGAAATAGGGTACTTGAACAACACAATAAATCAATCAGACCTAACAGACATATATGTACACACCACCCAAAAGTGCACATACTCTTCTCAAGTGTATATGGACATTCTCCAACATAGACCATATATGTTAGGGCCAAAAATAAATTTTAATAAGTTGAAAACAGTTGAAGTCATGTAAAGTATTATTTCCAGTCAATAACAGCAGGAAAATTGAAAAATTCACAAATATGTAGAAATAAAACAACATACTCTTAACCAGGGGGTCAAAGAAGAAATCAAAGGAAATTGGAAAATGTCTGCAGACAAAACAAAAAGTTACGGTATGCAAGGAAGGTAGTGCCAAAGGGGAAATTTATAGCAGTAACCTAATTTGATATCTTAAGGAACTACCAAAAAAAAAAAAAAAAAAAAAAAAAAAAAAAAAAAAGGAGGAAACTAAACCCAAAGGTAACAGAAGGAAGGAAATAATAAACATTGGAGCACAGATGAATGAAATAGAAAGTAGAGATTCAACAAAATCAAAAGTTGGGTTTTTTAAAAAGATTAAAATTGACAAACCTCTGACACAAAAATTTAAAAATTCAGAAATGTACATTATTACCAATCTTACAAAACAGGAGTATAAAAGAAGACTGTTAACAGTTCTACACCAACAAATTATATAGCCTCAATGAAAAAAATTCCTAAAAACAAAAACAAAAAAAATTGCCCGAGTGACTCAAGAATACATCCCATGACCAAGTGAGATGTAACCCAGGAATGAATACAAAGGTAGTTTAACATGGGGCACCTGGGTGGCTCAGTCATTTAAGTGTCCAACTCTTGATTTTGGCTCAGGTCAAGATCTCATGGTTCGTGGGATTGAGCCCTGTGCTAGGCTCCATGCTGACAGCACAGAGCCAGCTTGGGATTCTCACCCTCTCCCTCTCTGCTCCTCCCCCACTCTCTCTTTCTCTCAAAAATAAATGAACTTTAAAAAAATGTTTAAAGGTAGTTTAACATAACAAAACCAATGTCACTTACCACATTAATAGAATGAATAGGACTAATAGAATGTAATCATCTCGATGCAGAAAAAGTATTTGACAAAATAAACACTCTGTGATTAAAAAAAAAAAAAAGCAGAAAACTCAATACAGGGGAACCTCCTCAACATGTAAAAAGGCATTCGTGAAGTACCCACAGCTAGCATCATTTAAAGCATCAAAAAAAAAAAAAAAAATACCTACAAATAAATTTAACCAAGGAAGTGAGAGACTTGTGTATTGAGAATTACAAAGCCTTGACAAAAATTAACAGATACCTAAATAATTAGAAAGACATCAAGTCCTTGAATTGGACTTAACAGTGTTAAAATGTCCATGCTATCCAGAGCAATCTACAAATTCAGTACAAATCCTAGCAAAATTCCAATGGCCTTTTTTTTGCAGTAACTGAATAGTCCTCAAATTCAGATAGAATTACAAAAGGCCCTAAACAGTCAAAACAAGCTTGAAAAGGGAGAACAAAGTGAGAGAACTCATACTTACTAGTTTCTAAAATTACTACAAAGCTGCAGTAATCAAAACATTTTGGTCAGTGGAATAGAATTGAGAGCCTAGAAATAAACCCAGACATCTATGACAAATTGATTTTCAACATGGATGCCAAGACCATTCAGGGAGAAAAGATAACTTTTCAACAAAAGATGCTGGGACAAGTGGATATCCACATGCAAAAGAGTAAACTGGGACCCCTACTTCATACTGTATACAAAAATTAACTTAAAATGGACCACCAACCTAAATATAAGTAATAAGGTCATAAAACTCTTACAAGAAAACAGGTAAATTTTTACGACCTTGGGTTTGGCAATAGATTCTTAAATATGACACCAAAGCATGAGCAGTAAGAGAAAAAGATGGGTAAGTTGGACTGTATCATAACTTAGAACTTTTGGGTATCAGAGGACATTATTGGGAGGCCTGGGTGGCTTAATCAATTGAACATCTGACTCTTACTTTCAGATCAGGCCATGATCCCAGAGTCATGAGATCAACATGGAGCCTGCTTAAGATTCTCTCTCTCCCTCTTCCCATCTCCCCCACTCATGCATTCTCTCTCTCTAAAATAAAATTCAAAACAAAACAAAACAGGACATTATCAAGAAAGTAAAAAGATATCCTACAGAATGGGTGAAAATTCTGTGCCAAGTGTATTTCTGATAAGGGTCTAGTACCCAGAATATATAAAGAACTACAACTCGGAGTGCCTGGGTGGCTCAGTCAGTTAAGCATCTGAGTCTTGATTTTGGCTCAGGTCATGATCTCATGGTTTGTGAGATTGAGCCACATGTTAGGCTCAGTGCTGATGGCATGGAGCCTGCTTGGGATTCATTCTCTCTCTCTCTCTCTCTCTCTCTCTCTCTCTCTCTCTCTCTCTCTCAAAATGAATAAACATTTTGAAAATAATAAAGTCCTAAAATGTATTTAAAAAAAAAAAAAAAGAACTCTTACAACTCAACAATAAAAGACAACCCAATTTTAAAATGGGCAAAGAACTTGAATAAACACTTCCCAAAAGAAAACATGCAAATGGCCAAAAAACATATGAAAAGATGCTTAAATGTATTCAGTCGTTTAAGAAATACAAATCAAAACCACAACAAGATTACCACTTCATATCTACTAGAGAAGTAGGCTCCAAGCTGTCAGCACAAAGCCCGAACCATGAGATCATTACCTGGGCTGAAGTCAAGAGTCGAATGCTTAACAGACTGAGCCACCCAGGCAGAGCCTTTCTAGTGTGATGAGGAACGTTGTGCACATTTCTGCCTTCAGAAAGATGGACACAGCAGCTTAAAACATTGTACCAGGGCACAGAATTGTCCAGCTAACGCCGGTTAGAATTGCAGCTTTTAGGGGGTAAGCGTTGCTTTGGCAGGACAGGGCTCAGTCTCTGAAGGCCTCTTTGTTGACGGGACAGAATCTGATATTTTAGGCAAGTCCCTACTGCAGTTCTTAGCCTAGTATGCAATCAGAACCACCCTTGCTTCTCTGAATGGAACAGGTCCCTCTGCACCTGCCAGCAGAGAGCCTGCCTCTCTGTACTGGTGACTTCTGAGGCAAAGCCTGAATGCCATTAGTTGGTGCTAAGAAAACAAATACTGGCCCAAGAAACATTGTGGGAAAGAAAAAACGGTAGAGTGTTTAACAATATAGCATAAGGCATGTAATGGTGGGAATGGTGAGTGCCTGCATTTGAGGCGCTCCAGGGTAGAGCTCACAAGACTTGCTGATGACCTGCTGTGAGACAGGAAAGGGACAGTTGAGGGGCAGGATTTTGGCCGGAGCCAGTAGGGGAACTACAGGTGATTTCCTGAGATATGGGTCAGGGGAGTGAGGGTCAGTCTTGTAGGTTGAATGCCCTGCAGCCTGGTCCCCTCAAAGCCATCCCAGCCCCCTCTGTGGCCCCCTTGAGAGATCTAGGACTGCCACCCCTAATGGGTCCCACGTTCCCAGATGTGTCATCTGTATTTTCCTGTTTCCTTCCAAGTGACTGGGTTTGTTATTTCAGATTGGGACACCAGGACTGAGGACAAGGAGTTTCTTCAGAAGAGAGAAGTTTCTGAGGATTTGGAATCACAGGCAGAAGTATCAGAAAACTATACCAGTGATTTTTCCCAGGCTTCTGAGCTTGGAGAACTCTGTGAGGATGTCCTGGAGGGAGATTGGGCAGCCCCTGACAATGAGAAACGGGTGCAGTCCCACTACCAGGAGCGGGGCTTCACACCAGTGGCAGTGCTCCTTAGCAGCACCTTAGAGAAAGAGCTAGGCTGTAATGACTTTGTGAGAAGCTTCAGTCTGAGCCCAAACCCAATGGCATCTCAGGGAATTCCTACAGAAGAGAGAACACATATGTATGACATGTGTGGCCACAGCTTCCAACACAGTGTGGAGTTAACTAGCCATGAAGGGCTTCACGTAGCCGAAAGCCCACTCATATGTAATGATTGTGGGAAAACCTTCAGAGGAAACCCTGATCTTATCCAGCATCAGATAATCCATGCTGGACAGAAGTCCTTCATATGCAATGAATGTGGAAAATCCTTCAGTCAGAATTCATTTCTTAAAAGTCATCAGAGGTCTCATGTGAGTGTAAAACCCTACCAGTGCAGCGAGTGCAGGAAAACCTTCAGTGTGCATTCTAACCTCATTAGGCATCAGATTAACCACAGTGGTGAGAAGCCTTATGTATGCAATGAATGTGGAAAAGCCTTCAGCCAGAACTCAAGCCTTAAAAAGCACCAGAAGTCTCACATGAGTGAGAAACCCTATGAATGCAGTGAATGTGGGAAGGCATTCAGGCGGAGCTCAAACCTCATCCAGCATCAAAGAATTCATTCTGGAGAGAAGCCGTATGTGTGCAACGAATGTGGGAAGGCCTTTAGGCGGAGCTCAAATCTCATTAAACACCATAGGATTCATACAGGTGAGAAGCCTTTCCAGTGTAATGAGTGTGGGAAAGCATTCAGCCAGAGCTCACACCTGAGGAAGCATCAGAGAGTTCACACTGGAGAGAGACCTTATGAGTGTAATGAGTGTGGCAAACCATTCAGCCGGGTTTCCAACCTCATTAAGCATCACAGGGTTCACACTGGAGAGAAACCCTATAAGTGCAGTGACTGCGGGAAGGCCTTCAGTCAGAGTTCAAGCCTCATTCAGCATCGAAGAATTCACACTGGAGAAAAACCTCATGTGTGTAATGTGTGTGGAAAAGCCTTTAGTTACAGCTCAGTGCTCAGAAAGCACCAAATAATCCACACAGGAGAGAAGCCGTATGAATGTAGCATCTGTGGGAAGGCCTTCAGCCACAGTTCGGCTCTCATTCAGCATCAGGGTGTGCACACGGGTGACAAACCCTATGAGTGTCGGGAATGTGGAAAAACATTTGGTCGGAGCTCCAACCTTATCCTTCACCAGCGCGTTCACACTGGGGAGAAACCCTATGAATGTACCGAATGTGGAAAAACCTTCAGCCAGAGTTCAACTCTCATTCAGCATCAGAGAATCCATAATGGATTGAAACCTCATGAATGTAACCAGTGTGGTAAAGCCTTCAACCGAAGCTCAAACCTTATTCACCACCAGAAAGTTCACACTGGCGAGAAGCCATACACATGTGTCGAATGTGGTAAGGGCTTCAGCCAGAGTTCACACCTTATTCAACATCAGATAATCCACACTGGCGAAAGGCCATATAAGTGCAGTGAGTGTGGGAAAGCCTTCAGTCAGCGTTCGGTCCTCATCCAGCACCAGAGGATCCACACCGGTGTGAAGCCTTACGACTGCTCTGCTTGTGGGAAAGCCTTCAGCCAGCGGTCCAAGTTGGTCAAACACCAGCTGATCCATGCTAGGGAGTGAAACAGAGCTCCATTCCCGACTCCTCTGGCCATGTCCCAGCCTCACCCACTTCCCAGACTTGAAGCCAGGCTCACTTGCTGCCCTGTAAACCCATATCCCACTGTCCAAAAAACCTCAACCCTCCTTCCCCTGTCATCATTCCAGCCTCCTGTGACCTCTTGTTTCTTGTTTGTTTTGTTTATACATTTTGTTATCAGACTGCCACATTTATTAGGAGGAAAAGGATGATAGAAGGTGCATATTCATGAATAGAGTTTATTACTATAATCAAACAGAACCAAAAAAGTAAACTGACATTTGGTTCAAAATAACAACAGTAATTCTTTTATTTGGTAATTATTCATAGTGAGTTCTTTTCTATAGTTATAATGATACTCTGTTTACATATGTCAGGTGGAGCTTTTCAGTTTGAATTATAGTCATCCTTCCCAGAAGTGGTGTGTAGTCATCACCACTGACCCTCCCTTACAGTCACTGGATGCAGGACCCCTTCGCCCCCCTTGCCCTTGTGCCTGAGTCTGAGGTCATGCTTTCTGCTTACAGTTCCACTCAGGGTTGCTGCACAAGTACACATGCAGGTGTTTCCAAACTTCCCAGCTCTGTGCCTTATGGTCCTGGCTGTTGGCCCCACAGAGGCCTGCCCTCTCCATGCCCCTCCTGTTCTCCCCACAAGTTCCCAGGTTGTTTTCTCCCAGGCCCATTCATCACCAGACATTTATGGAGGACCTGTGAGTGCCCCCAGTAGGTGGGGACCGGCCTCCTCAGTTTCCCAGAGCTGTGCCCTTCTCCGTGAGCAGGGGGAGTTGGCCCAGAAGCAACACATCTGCCACGAGAGAGGCCCCTGGGTGCCAGCCACCAGGTCTCAATTTAGGAGTATCCTAGGATGGGTGGACGGAGAAGCACTTCCCTCATGGTTCAGGAGGAAAGGCATTAATGGGCAGATGTAGTCAGGTTTGCAGTTGAGGTAAGAAGATAAGGGCTTGGCTTCTCTGCTTTCGAGGATGTAGAGGCAGAGTCATCAGTTGCAAATGAGGAGGGAGAGGTTTGAAGAGAGAAGTATGTGAAAGTTGGATCAAGGGTGCACAGGTTGGTTCCATGGGCTTGGGCTACAGTGGGCTGCCTACCCTTCTCTCAGAGGCCATCAGGGTAGCCCATCACTACTCACTAACTCCCCTCCACTTCAGCCCTGCTTTCCCAAGGCAATACGCTAGATAACAAACTGTCACACTTGCAGTTTGGTGACAGCCTTGTTCTGTTATCCTCATTTGCTCATCTTTCCACTCCATGGAGACCTCCATCTGTTAACCCTCATTCTGTCTCACCGTCAGGCAATCCTTTCTGGCTTCACATTCCCCATTGTCCAGCCTGGATTCCACAACCCCACCCCCACCCCCCAGTGAATACTTGTGAGATACTTACTACATGCCATTCATAGGGACACAGCAAGAAACAAGTCTGTCCTTGAGGTCAGTGGGTAGAGAAAAATGGCCTAATGGTCATGGTTGTCATGAGGTGAAAGGAAAGCAGGAAACAAGGTGTGGGTGTTTTGGCAGATTCTGTTTTAAATGGGGGCTGTCAGAGCAGGCCTTGCCACAATGCCCTTTGAGTGACAACTTGAAGCAAATGAGAAAATGACCAGTGAAAATGGGGGAGTGGGGTTGACAGCAAGAATAGCTGGTTTTGTTGGGAAGCCAGATCTGGGGTATTAGGAATGTGCAGATTATGACTGGCTGAGGTGGGACTCACAAGCCACCCACACGGGTTGGCAGGTAGCTCTCTCGTTATCCAAGCTCCTGCTTTGGGAAAGTGAAAACCTAGAGTCTTTTTTGATTGAAGGCGCAGTTTCAATACACTTACACAAAGGAAGTAAAGTCACAAGATTTGCTACACACACATCCCAGAAGCAAGGGAGCACAATGATGGAGGGCAGTCCATCATCCCAGGTCATGAGCAAGCAAGAAATAAGAGAACAGGGTAGCAGGCACCTATTACTTAGGAAGTGGTTAGGGTGGTGAGCACTGAATTCACGTTCTTATCTAAATGCCCAGACTCTGATAATAGGGTTATCATACAGTAAAATGCCTAGGCAATAACTGGGAAAAACAACTTTTGTTTTTCCATTCACACAGTACAAAAGCCCTGAGCAGAACAGGTCTAGAGTGTTCAAGAATCATTGGAGTTCAGTATGGCTAGGAGTTGAGTGAGCAGAGGGAGAAGCAGATGGGATGGGTAGTAATGGGCCATATCACAAAAGCCCTCATGGCCATGACAAGGACTTCGGCTTTTACTCTGGGTGAAAGGAGATGTTGGAGGATTTGGATGACTTACATTTTTTTTTTTAATTTTTTTTTTCAGTGTTTATTTATTTTTGGGACAGAGAGAGACAGAGCATGAACGGGGGAGGGGCAGAGAGAGAGGGAGACACAGAATCGGAAACAGGCTCCAGGCTCCGAGCCATCAGCCCAGAGCCTGACGCGGGGCTCGAACTCACGGACCGCGAGATCGTGACCTGGCTAAAGTCGGACGCTTAACCGACTGCGCCACCCAGGCGCCCCTGGATGACTTACATTTTAACAGGGCCATTGCTGTGTGGAGAAGAGGCTCTAGGGGCAAGCATGTTCTCTGTATCACTCCCTCATCAACTCCTTTTGCTCCTTCCCCTGGCCTCCACACTGTTGGGAGACCCCTGGGGCTGAGGCGTGGCTGTGGGAGTCTGGAGACAGGAAGGAGGAGTGAGTGTCAAGCTCTACTGGACCCTTGTCCATACCCAGTGTCTGGGCAGAATTGACCACATTTAGGGGCCTGCTATCCGCAGCCTGAGAGTTTTGATTTTGGAATGTCACATTTCCAAAGAGAATGTCTGGGAAACAAATGGTCAGCCACAATTTCTTTCTTTTGACTTTGATGATGTCCTTAGAAATGTTTCTTGGGAAACGGGCTGAGAGAGAACCCTGAGTGCCATCCCCTTGGTGCCAGCAGATTTCAAACCATTCAAGTCCCACTCAACAGGAAATGTGCAGTATGTACTGCAGCCTCATCCCAGGCACAGCAAACACCCAGTTCAGTGCCCTTCCATCATTCCTTAAGCCACTTTGGGCCTCCCCAAGGAACCCTGCCCTGCTCACCTCAGTTACGTGAGTAATAAACCATCTCATGCCCTCTTGGTATGTGTGGCATTGTCAGTCTTGACATCTGAACCAACTTTTGGGTGGGGTCCATCCACCGTGCAGGTGATGGTAAAAGTTGGAGTTGGCACTCTGTGAACAGGACATCTAGACAATGGCATCCACAGCCTTTCAGCCACAGTTTGCCTTCACCTCTGAAGGAACATGATATATCTTTACTAGGATGCCCATAGGGTGCCTCAGCAGCCTCACTGTCACATACAGTCTTGACTGCATCCACCTTCCTCTGGGAGCACAGATGTGACATTACATACATTGATGACATCCTCCTCCAAGGTGATTTAATTGGCATTCATTTGTGTGTCACTTATTCAGGACATACAGATACAAAGCAGCTCACCAAAGGGAATGGGCCATTGCCCCCAAATGTAGTGCAAGGCCCTGCCACTTCTGTTAAGTTGCCAAAAATGTTTTGTAAACCAAGGACTGCTCCATCCTTGAAGCTTCAGAAATAATCAGTGTCCCTATCAGCACCCACAACTCTTTTAGATCTTTTGGGGGTTCTGGAGGCAACATGTTCCTCATCTACAGATTTTACTTAACCCCATTTATGTTGCGACTTGCAAATCAGCCCACCTTGGTTGGGGCCCCCTCCAACAAAATCCTCTAGAATCTGTCCAGCTTCCAACACCACATTCCCATTAGTGTCCCTCCCACCAAGACTTTTCCATCACAGGGGATTCAACAACCTCCTTTCACATCTCCCAGAGTCTCCGGACCACCCATCATGGCCATAAGTTGTCCAAGGGCTTCTGATCCAAGAAACTACCTTCCTTGCCCTATACTACATGCTACCAGAGCTGCAATTGCTGGCCACATACTGGAACCTCCTAGAAATGGAGGCTTTCACAGGCCCTGAGTCTGTGACTTTATCTCTGTACCCAGCTGCCCATTGTGTTCTGGGTTATGGAAGTAGTACACCATGAGCTCAATACAACTGCTGAGGCCACCTTGGTACAGTATAAAGCCAAACCTGGGCCCCCTGGTATATTCCACCTGCAGAAGGGGCAGCCTCCTCTATCCTCTGTCCCTTGCCAGATGCCAGGGTGTTGGAGGGCAGCCCTCCCCAGACCCTTTGGCTACCTGGAGAGCCACCTGGGATGAAGTAAGTTAACAGCAGAGGGAATCCACAGACTATACAAGCAGCACTACCAACCATCATAGGTGATGGAGCACAGTGGGGAGCTACTGTTCCTTATTTCTTAACCAGGACTTCCCTAATAAAGAACCAGATCCAAACGTCAGCACAAGTGGCTGGGCTGAATTTCCGGCAATTATCTTAGCACTGGATGGCCTAGCTAATGAATAGCCCCATCTCCACATTTTTACAAACTTTTGTGCCATTGCCTTAAAAGTTGCCCCCTTTAGGGTGAAGAACTCTCAGAACCTCTTAGCCCACAGATAGATGCCCCAAAATATCAATCAAGGTCAAGATATCTCTCTACCTATGCTCAGGCCTAAGTAAAAGGTCTCACCAGGACACCCTCATCCCCTCTGGAGTAGCTGAGGCACTCATGTCACTTCTCAGAAAACACAATGCTGGACTCTTGAAAAAGCAATTTAGTGGGATTTTTATCTCCCTCACCAGCCTCAGGCTGCAGGTTGCAGAGAGTGCCATATAGTTTATTTAAATGAGTACTAATTCAATTAGTGTTTCAGTCATCAAACATCAGGGATGAATTATAATGAATGGTCTGGTTCCATTATTTAGTGTTGGCTGATAGCTTTGGAACCTCATCCTCCTACTTCTCCATGCCCACATTTGGACAAGCTGATAAGAAAGCTGGTGCTTGGGGTGTCTGGGTGGCTCAGTCAGTTAAGCCTCTAACTCCAGCTCAAGTCATGATCTCACGGTTTGTGAGTTCAAGCCCCACATAGGGCTCTATGCTGACAGCTCAGAGCTTGGAGCCTGCTTCAGATTCTGTGACTCCCTCTCTGCCCCTTCCCGGCTCGCTCGCTCTCTCTCTTTCTCTCTCTCTCTCAAAAATAAACATTTAAAAACAAATTGAAAGAAAGAAAGAAAGAAAGAAAGAAAGAAAGAAAGAGAGAGAGAAAGAAGAAAGAAAGAAAGAAAGAAAGAAAGAAAGAAAGAAAGAAAGAAAG